CATATTTCAAAATTAGAACAAAAACTAGATGCTCTTCTTGCATTGAACTCAAGAAATCCTCTTAAATAAGTGTGTACCATATGTGAAGTTGATGACCATACTATCATAGCTTGTCCACTAGGGGCTGCATATCCAGAATTTGTGTAAAAGCAAGCTAACTTGGTCAATTCCTACAACCAAGGTCCAAGAAATGATCCTTACTCTCAAAGTTATAATCCAGGTTGGAGGAATCACCCAAACTTTTCATGGAGGAATACCCAAAATCAAGCTAATCCCCCTTCATTACAAAGGCCACAGCAATCATCATCATTGGAGGATATAGTGAAGTAAATGGCAATCAACCAATCTAATTTCCGAAAAACTACACAAGCTGCCATCTCCAAATTGGAAGTTCAATAAGGCCAAATAGCTGTTGAAATAACTCAAAGAGAGCCTGGGAGATTGCCAAGCCAAACCGTGATCAATCCAAAGAACCAAGAGGCCAAGGCCATTAATGTTCTCAAATCAGGTAAGATAATTGATAACAAAGTTGGTTCTAATCCTTCTAATGATGTTGTGGTTGTAGAAGATGAAGAGGAGGAGGAGGGCACCATAGGTACACAAGGGCAACAATTTGCTTCTAAAGCCAAATATGATGCTCAGGAACCTAATCCATTCCAATCGCATAAAAGGGAAGACAAATTCGTGTCACCACATCATCAAGAAGATAGATACGTGCCACTAATTCCATTTCCAGGCCATCTTAAGAAAGCAAAGTAAGATCAGGCCGTTAAAGAGATTTATAATATTTTGAGTAAAGTTAATATCAATTTTCCTTTGCTTGATGTTATTGAACAGATGCCAGCATATGCAAAATTCATCAAGAACTTGAAAACTCATAAACTCAATTTTGCTCCAAATGAAGAAATAAAGCTTAACAAGAATGTAAGTGTTGTTTTGCAAAACAAGCTTCCACCAAAACTAGAAGACTCTTGCATATTTAACATTTCCATTAACATTGGAGACAAGAAGGTTTGAAGAGCCATGTTGGACTTGGGAGCAATTATCAATCTAATACCATATTCAATTTATCAAAAGCTTGGCTTAAAAGGAATGAAGAATACTTCTGTGCGACTTGAACTAGTTGATCATTCTATCAAATATCCAAAAGGTATTGTAGAATATATTTTAGTTCAAGTTAATACACTAATTCTCCATGTTGATTTTGTAGTGATGGATCAATTTTAGGTTAAAGGAAGAACAAGTTTCCCAATGTGATTTATTATGCTAATGTCAGACCTTAAATGATGCTCAACTCAACTACTCCACAACAGAGAAGGAGTTGCTTGCTGTGGGTTTTGCTTTAGAAAAGTTTCGTTCTTACCTTGTTGGTTCTAAAGTAATTGTTTATTCTAACCATTCAACTCTTAGATACTTGCTCACTAAGAAGAACGCCAAACCACGCTTGATTAGATGGATTCTCTTGTTGCAAAAGTTTGATTTGGAGATTCGAGATAAGAAGGGAAGTGAGAATGCGGTGGCTAATCATTTGAGTAGAATTGTGGTTGAAGAAGAAGGATTAGATGTGCTACCCTTGAATGAGACTTTCCCAAATGAACAACTCTATGTTGCCAACACCAAAGAGCCATGGTATGCTGATTTTGTTAATTATCTTGCTTGTGGTGTTATTAGAAATGATCTAACTTCTCATGACAAGAAGTTCTTTTCTATAGTGAAACATTATATTTGGGACGAACCTTTCTTATTCAAGCATTGCCCTAATCAACTCATTAGAAAGTGTATTGCAAAAGAAGAGCAAGAGAGCATATTGAAGCATAGCCACGAGTTGGCTTGTGGAGGTCACTTTGGAGCTAAGAAAACAGCACTTAAAATTCTACAATCTAGTTTATTTTGGCCCACTCTATTCAAAGATGCGTTTAATTTTTGTGTTAAGTGTGATAGGTGCCAAAGGATGGGGAACATAAGCCGTAGGAATCAAATGCCATTGAACAACATACTCATTTTGGAGCTCTTTGATGTATGGGGTATTGACTACCAAAATATATGTTCCCACAATGATGTTGATGTCATCAGAAATATGCCCATTGAACCTTATGAAACAAATCTACATACTCGAGTGCCTATTTTTGTGGAGCCTATTGTTAGGACTCAAGAGGAAGGACCCAAGCATTGTTGAACGCAAGGTCGTGTCTGGGGGTTGTGGGACACTGGCCGACTTTGGTATCTTTTTCTATTGGAAAATTGGAATCGGTCACATTCATATACTTACACACACTCATGGGAGTTCAAACTAAGACTACTACCACTGGTATGTACGTTAAGGCTCTTTTTTATTAGAATAGACCCCGATTATAAATATTATATTATATTGAAGGATTAGGAAATGATTCATATGAACTGTGAGAGTTCATAAACATAATCGGTGTGGAATCTGATTCACTTGGGTCTCACTCACTAATTGCCATCCTTTCTGCCTAACCTGTATATCTGTGCGTTAGGTTGGATAGAGACCGCCTCAATTATTAACATATGGCTGACTAATCATACATGCAGGAACTAAGCATCGATCTTTCCTTCATATATATTATATACTTCAATATTGTTAAGAAAATCCAATTACCAAGTTAACAGGCCTCCTTTAATTTATTTAGTTATATTTATATTGTTCTTATTCTTAATCAATCTTTGGCAGATTTGTCAACATGAACACATATATATATAGAGGGATTCCTCAAATATTTATTTGAGGGACATCCTTTAGGGTTCCCTACGATTTTTTTTCAACGATCCAAACCATCTATTTTTTAAGTCTACATCATAGATCATCCTTGCAAAACATTAGACAAATTAGAAACCATTTCGATATCCAATTGTGTGCTACAAAATCAATGAACATTGTGCTTCAAGAAAGTACTAAAATTTCAATAATTCAATTGACTGGTCATATGATGTCGGATTCAAGTGATTTTTTGAAGAGATGATCTTCAAATGAGGATCTACAAAATAGACGGTTTGGATTAATGAAATACAATACGGAGTGGGCCCTATAAGAGTGTCCCTCAAATAAGCCATATATATATATATATATATATATATATATATATATATATATATATATATATATATATATATATATATATATATATATATATATATATATATATATATATATATATATGTTACATAGGTGAATCGATCTGATTCACCAAATAATAGTTCTAGAAATATATAGAAAGCTAATTTACAATGAAAGGTGTTATAAATAAAGAAATATCAAACTGCAATAACAAAAAAGCACCTGAGGATACAGGAAAACAAGAATCAATCTAGCTATTTTTTCCTTTTTTTATTTTATTATTATGGAGTACTGAATCAAATTATTACTGACTCATGCAAATCCCCTTTTTTCTATTTTTTAATGGTATGAGAAGAATAAAGCATGTATAGCATATATACTAAATCCTGAAGCGCACTATTAATTTCATTTATTTTACTCAAAGAATTATACTAATTAATTAAGCAGAACGTGCATGCAAGTACTTTGTAACATCATATACATTCTTCGGGCCCCTAACGGTGGGAGTATTATTATAAGCTTGTGTGAGTAATGGGACTACTATATAATGAGGCTTGGACCCTAAGGAATTCAAATCAAAGCAAAACTTGTAATCAGATTTAAGTTAATTAACATGGGGAATCAAGTTTCTTCTGCTCCTACACCTTCTCATGATTATCAAGAAGGTCCATATGGAGGCGCAGCGGCGGGAGTAGCAGCAGCGGCGGCCAACATGGAGAATCATGGAGCTCCACAGAAGCTGCAAAGGCCTAATTACAATAAGTCTGTCATCAGCTCTGACGAGGCAGTGCGAATCTATGGTGGGATATGTGTCACAGAAATATATGGTACGAATTCTACTCGTACCAGTAAACCAAACCCGGTCATCAATAGGCGTTATTATTAGTTAATTATATGCTCATGAATGCATTTGTACTGAAACCAATACCCTGGCTACTATTGATCCTTTGGTTATAAAGCTAAACTTCCTACAGCTTTAGATATAGAGCTGTTTAATTATATTACTAAGGGAAGCATGCGGCTTAATTAATTATATGGGATCAGTAGCATAGTATAGTATAGTGTGTGTATATATATATGAAATGGAAGTCTATTCGGTATGTACTCCAACATCTTTCTAATTATTTCCTGCTTGTAATATCAGTACTACTCCATCGTGTGTGTTTTAATCTCTCTCTCTCTCTCTCTCTCTCTCTCTCTCTCTCTCTGTCCTACATCAGAATGGTTAAAAAAAATTCAATTGGGGTGCTTTTTTAAAGAGATATCAGCTATGAGATATAGACAGTTCAAATTGTTGAAATACAATATAAACTGAGCTCTATAAAAATATCTCTCAAATAAGTTTATTTAGAGATTAAGTTGTCACATCCAGCTCTCAATTTGTGTGATTTTTAAAAGAGAATATATGAAATAGACAGTTTGAACTGTGAATTGTTCAAATACAATACAAACTGAGCTTTACAAAAATATCCCTCAAAAAAGTTTATTTGAAAGATCCATCATATGTAGCTCTCAGACAACGAAAAGAAACCAGATAAACTATGATATTTATTCCTGTCAATCTCTCCAATATCTTCACCTCCCACAATTTGCGCTTATATTCCTATTTTTCATTAGGGGTGGGCACGGTCCGGTTCGGCCCGGTTCTCTCTTAAACCCGAAATCGGAACTGGTACTGTTCATCCGGTCCGGTCCGGTCCGGTTTTTCATTAAAACACCTTATAGAACCGGACCAACCCGAACCTATTTATATCCGGTTCGGTTTTCGATTTTCCAATTTGGACCGGCTCTTGAGCCCTTTTTTTTTTTGGAATTTTAAAGAGATTTAAGCCCAATTGAATTTTAAAAAAATTTTGGGCTTACAAATTCACAATTAGCATAATTCCCTTCCAATTGTCCCAAACGAAATTTAGCAAACATTAAATTTAAAATTACAACCCAATAACAAAAGAAAAACACATATAGCAAATAAAATTACATAAATAACATTCAAACTATTCCATCTTCCAGTGAAAAAAAAAAATGCTCCATCTTCCCCTTGCTCCTTCTCGGAGGTCTCTTGGCAACACGAAGAGGCATTTTCTTCAAGCCTTCTCTATTAAGATCCTCTCCCAGCCCCTGCATGTAGAAAAAGAGAATTCATGAGCAAAAAGGCAAACAAAAACAAATAACATATGACGAGAAAACATAAACAAATAACAAGTGTTGTGGTAATCGTTGTGGGAATTGTTACATAAACAAAAACATAACTATATATGATTTTTATGCATAAAGAAAGTCAAAAAGGTATGGACAACCAACATGGCCTATGATATGCTTTACAACCAAAAAAAAAGAAGACGTCATCAACAACAAGCAGCAATTCACTAAATTGCAGATCTTTCATGAATATAAAAAATGCCTATTAAAATAAAGAATTTACACATATCACCGGTCAAAATTAACCAAAAAACAATTCAAAGTTTGCAGCTTTAGTAGTAAAAGAGAGAAAGGAAACCTAGGTCATGGCCCTTTGGAGCAAAAGAAAAGTGGATGCTACAGCGCCTCCTAAAGCACGCACAAGCTCTCCCTACACAAACAAAAACAACCCATTTCACCAAAACCAATTCCAAGTCCAAAAATCCACATAAATCAAAAATTGTACACTACTAAACAAGGAAAATACCTTGAGCTTTGCCTAGTTGAGCGTTCTCGTCATAGAGAGAGAGAGAGAGAGAGAGGAGGAAGAGGTGTTTGTGCCTAATAAATCACGGTCGTAAACTGACCGAAGGGGCTTCCTATCGGCCCTAGCACCTATTCATGAGCTGGAGCGTGGCATTTCGTCAGGCGTTTTGCCTTCCTAAAGACAAAGGAAAAGCTGCGAAGGGGGAATCCTCTCGGCCTCGAGACCGCGGCATTATTGGCCGAGGCTGAAGGACGAAAGAGACACGGCCGAAGATATTAGAGTCAAATCGCCACGTGGCAGCAGGGTCCCACGCCTCATTCAATGAAGTAACGCCTCTGACTAGCAAACCCACTAGCAGCAAAAAAGCATTTAATGCACGAGGGAAGAAGGGAAGTGACTAAAGTCAGGATTTGGTGATAGAAATCAGAGTGGTTAGGCGCAAATTACGGTTTAAATGCCCACCCCTATTTTTCATTAATGTGTTTTGTACCAACCATATCCATGGGTCAACCTGCCACGAAATTCTTAGCACCAAAGAATCTTCCATACATTCAATAATGCTATTCATAATACTTTTTAAGGCACTTCTGTAATTTGCAATATTTCAAATATGTAAGCTATTATGTAAGCTAAATGATGTGTTTTTTTTTTTTTTGGTCTGAACCATGAGGTGGTCCTGGATGGGCCCCAACTATGGGTGGCACCTTTAAGCCTTAACCACAACCCAGACTAATCCCCACTCACACCGGGTCGGCCCGTAAGGGGTAAAGTGTTGGCCAAAGTGGTGACTCCGTACGAGAGCATGGATCGAACCCCTGACATCTCTTAAGGAATGAGAGTGCCGAATCACTCACACCAACCACCTTGGTTAAATGATGTGTTTTTTGAGTATTAGAAGTTTACTGTTGTTTTGCGGAACTGTTTATTCTATTTTTGTGGTGATATTTATATAAAATAAACAAATATATGTATATCAGATGTAGAAGTGGTTTGGATAGCGCCTAGTCTTTATATGTTTTTTTTTTTTTTTTTCGTCTGAAGTCTTTATATGTTCCGCTTATAATTATATGTAGAAATCACTTCTTATGCTATATAAAATATATTTAATGCTAGCCCCACCTGCATACTCTCTCTTGTTTGTTATGTGTAATCACTTTTCACGGAAATTTATTATTATTAAAATTTATAAATAAATAAAAAAGAGATGAAAACAACCTCCTTGTATGAAAATAACAAACAATATAAAAAGAGTATCAGATGCACTATAATGACTACTCTCCTAATTCTAAAGAGAATCAGCAACTTCTCATCTCATTCTTAAATAAGTGGGTGTATTTGCTATTAGTTTCATATTCATTACCCATCATCATTCGTGGGTCACAATTCCTACAAAAGTGAGATATTTATCTTCATCAATGAGTTATACTTGTATAAAATTTAGTTAGCAATGTAATCATTAGATATGATACAGCACATAAATTTTAACTTAAAAGATGGTGATGATGTGATATAAACAGTGGTGGATCCACAGAGGGGCAAGGAGATGCACCTCCTATCGCCGAAAAACGCTTTGAAAGTGGCAGAGATTTCCCCTTCTGCTCTGCCTAAAGGTGTTGGCTGCACTAAGAAGAACCTGCTACACGAAGAAGAAGATGATTTCTAAACCCTTTCTTTTTCTTAAACGACGTCGTTGGGTTCACCTTTGGGTTTTAATAAAAGTGTGCATTTTGATTGTTATTTTAAAACCTTTTTTTGTCTTTTCCTTTTTCCAAATCTATTTCTCCCTCCTCCCAATATAATCACACTAAACCCCAAATTCTTTTTTTCTCAACCACATGTATCTCTAGCCCTAACCCTCCTATCAATTTAGGAAGAGATTTTCTATTTAAACCCCGCACTTCTCTTTGTTCACCCCAATACTTAATCTATTTATCTGTCAGTTTTATTATTGTGTAAAAAGACAAAAAAGGTCATTCAACTTAATATTTAACTCTAGTACATCTATCTATACACACACCCCACCACTCCATATTAAGTTTTAGAAAAATACAGACTCCTCTACATCTTATTGCTAATGGAGTTTAATCCCGTAAAAAAGGGTCTTAACTTGCATGTCAGTGGTCTGAGGTTTGAACCCTACCACAAGCATCTTTGTCTGATTAGTTAACCTTTTTAATCACATGATAAAAATAGCCTTGTGAAAACAACAAAATCTCATGTATACTACAAATATTGTTTAATGATTTAAGTATTGGGGTGAACAAAGAAAAGTGTGGGGTTTAAATAGAAAAAACTCTTTTATTTCTTATTTTTTTTCAGCTTGGGGTGTATTTAAGAGTAGTTTGGGAAGATAGTGGGGTTTTCTTAGAAATTGTGAAAATGTAAATTAGAAGTTGGGGTGAACAAAGAGAAGTGTGGGGTTTAAATAGAAAATCTCATTTAGGAATCATCCTACTCTATTCAATTGTATAACTAATTGGATAATATTAGGTTTCAAAATTGATTATTATATTTATTACTTATATTTAATTGAATATGAAGCTTTAATCAGATTTACTGATTTAGTTTCATTATATTTTATTATTTATAATTTTTCTTCGCAAAAAACTTACTCATCATCGCTTTAAGACTTATGCCTCATCTTGCGGGACCAAAGTTACTTAGCATCTACACCTTGCTTTTCAAAAATTTGGTATTGTTTAAATTCTAAGGGTAATTGGTTATCTGATTTTTTTTTTTTTTTTTTTTTTTTTTTTTTTTTTTTTTTTTTTTTTTTGCTTTTAGTCTTCTAAATATTGCCCCTCCCTTGAAGAATTCCTGGATCCGTCACTGGATATAAAAGACACCATATAGTTGCTACGGTATGATTAAGTTCTAATATCAAAATATATTTTTTTGGTGACAATATATATATATATGTGCACATCCTCCTACAATAGCCATAAGTTTGGCTGCATATGGTTTTTTTTTTCTTGTTGGACCAGCAATCCCATGCTTTGATACGTAATTGGAGGCTCTGTTCAATTTCTAGGGTTTTCATAGGGGAATGAGGAAGGACGAAAGAGATGAGTTTAACGCTAAATCTAAAATCGTTTTTTTTTTTCGTTCTTTTTTATTTTTGCTGGGTGAAATTCTTTTCTTAGGAACAAAATATGTAGTTAAAATAAATGAGATGGCAGAAAATCCCAAAATAGTCAAAAGTAAAGAGGAACTTATACGTACAATTATTGAGCTTTCCTTTTATATTCCCTCCCGAAATTTGAACCAAGAAAGAAAGATTCTAACTCATTGTGTCAATGGTGAAGGTGAACTCCTATCAAGTTATGCAAGGAATTAATACCTTCCCATTTCCCCCAAGGAACGTTCTTCTCCCCTTTTTTTTTCCTTTTTTTTTCTTTGAATATGTTCTTCTTACTCCTCGTCAGGAATTGCGACAACAAACCCTAGTAGGTTGATTAGACTATTAGTTAGAACTTAGAAAGAAAGAAAAAAAAAATTAAGTATGCAAATTAGAAAGGGAAGCAAAAAGAATATGCTATTTTATTCCCCAAGCTTCTTCAAATATCTTATCCCAATTAAGGACCCAGGCATTGTTGAAGGCAAGGTTGTGTTGTGGCTGGGGATTGTGGGACACTGGCCGACTTTAATTAGTATCTTTTTCTGTTTTAAAATTGGAATCGATCAAATTCACATACTTTATATGTATATATATATATATATATATATGCTCTAAAGTAGCCCATTTGTAATTTGGTCAAATATATACATGCCAGGAGGCAAATGCTTCCTCCACTACATGTAATTGAAAGCAACATTATATGATCAAGAATATCTTTTCCTACCCTGAGATAGGCCAGAATAATTTTGTTACGTAAACTTGCCATCGTAAGCATATGCACGCCACACTAATACTTTTTTTTTTCAAATCAAGAAATAAAATTACAAGGAAGATCTACTCCAAGGATTCCAATATTTGTACATAAACTTTAAAGAAATGGACAATGGAAAGTTAGTAGACCAAATACAAGTATATTAAGTTTGTGATCAATGACCGCTAAATCATCAACCACTATGTTAGCTTCTCGATTGACATATCTTACTTGAAGAAATTATTAAATTTAAGTTTTTTCTCTTTTTTGTTTTGTTTTGAGGACCTTTCCTATTGAGAGGGGCTACAACATACTAAACTCACATACACAACACGAATGCTAGGACTTGACCCATGACCTTTCCTAGGGAGAGCATTTGCTCCAAACCACTACACTAGTAAGTCTTTTGCAGTTTTTTCTCCTTACAAAAATGTTACCTATATCAACATTTCCAAGATGGGATAAACAATTTTAAATCCAATGAAAATAACATCAATAATATATTGGAAAGCACCTAGTTTAATAACTATTGATATGAGGCCTTCTCCAACCCATGAGGGGCTAAACTCAAATTTTCCCCCTCCAAAAAGTAACTATTTGGGTTTTGCCCGGACTCAAATCATTTTTTCTCCCAACCCTTCGGACTCAAATTTTAAGTTCACAACTTTATTAATAAATTGTTTAAGAATGGTTTCAGACTATTTTATTTTTTTTTATGGATAACTTTTCTTCATTTAATCTTTTTAAATAACTTCATAATTTAATTTTTTGAACAATTTGACCTTAAAAAATTGAAATTCTACAAATATAATATTTTTGGTAGATTATTTGAGAAATGAGTGGGTATTTATAGAGTTTGGGGTGAGTTTTGGGGTTGGATCTAATTTAGATTAAGTTAAAATATTATTTTAATCTTTGGATTTAAATTTCAACCGTTGGATCTTTTTTTTTTACCTTTAAAATAGCTTTGATTTAATATATATCGTTGATTTAAGTTAACATTAGAATATAAAAAAATATAAAAAAATAAACAAATAACATCACTACAAGACAAAGGCAACATCTTCCACATGGGCTGTTGGCGGGCCCCAGTTACTCCACAAATTTTTTTTAGGTCCAGGCAATACTTGGACTACTATTTGGGTCCAAGTTTGGGTTTTTCCAAATTTTGGCCCCTTCATTTTCTTGGGTTGGGAGAGATTTTGGGCAATAATTTGGGATTTTTTGGGTTTGGCCTCATGGGTTGGAGATGGTCTAAGGAGCTGATTTTTCCACTCCTCTTTTGTCCGTTTACACTCCCTTTGTTGGCAATTGTATGCTCCCACTTCTTTTTTGTCCACTTACATTCCCTTGTATGTTATAGTAAAAAGTATTATAATAAAAAATAAAAATAAAAAGAGTGTAAGTGGACATAAGGGGAATGAGAAAATCAGAACCCATAATACAATGCAAAATGATAATTATAAGTTTAATCTATAATCTCTTATGATTTATCCACAACCCTTGTTATCCATGGATACATATTATGTATATATCATTGCTTTTCTTTGATGGTGGCAGTTGGGATCTAAAACAAATTGGTAACGTTATACGGTCCACAGTCGGTGCAAAGGATAAATGTCTAAGAAGGGTAACGTTATATGGTCCACAGTCTTGTGCTTGAGTGATTGAATCGAATAATATTTTTTCTTCTGTTTTTGTCAGTAGAATCTAATGCATATATCCAAAACTCTCCAATAGGAGGGGAAGAAAATAATACAAAACATCTAACATGTTATTAATACCATAACATTATGTTCTCTGCAGTAGATATATATGTAACTAGTGGCCAAACCTTACCAGAATTGCTCACTGCTTACTAGTTAGATATTACAAACAGACCCTAAAGTATAAGAAGTATTTTTTATTATTTTACGAAAAAGGAAAGCATCAAAAGAAAATGACAAGATCGATCAGAAAGCCCACTTGTGAGCTTCTGTGACTCTCACTCCTATAAATGTTGCTCGTCTCTTAACCTTTGTTTCAGTAAGGCAAGGCAAACCTAGCTAGCTCTAGCTTCCCCTTGGTCAATTAGTTCTACTTCAATTCTCAGCTTTTAATTAAGTTAGCATGGCTATTTATCAAGGCTTTATGACCATGAGAGAGGAGAAAGTGTTTTGTCATAGCAGGCCAGTGCTTTATGGTCATGTCTACCCTGCAGAAGAACGCCACACCCTAATACAAGACTGCCATGGCGTGCTTTATGGTCATGTCCACCCTGCAGAAGAAGTTTCATACTTCCCAGCACCTGCCATGAGAGACGAGTACCATGGCGGCCTGCCCACCAAGACTGTCACCGTTAGGCCTCTTCCTCCTCCTCAACAGGTACAATATTATCCATACCCCAACATGGATCAAAATCGTGTTCCTCCTCCTCATCATCAGATCAGAAGGCCTGTAAAGACGGAGGAAGTTCCAGCTCAGAAGCCTCATCAGAAAAAGGGCGGCGTTCTTAATAGCATTGAGGCAGCAAAGATGTACGGGGGAGTGTTAATTACTGAACATGGTACCAAGAAATATCCTCGACCCTATTAGCCTTAATTTTCTTGGTACACAAGAAACATACTCAGCCTTTCTTCCTCTCCTCCTAGTGATCCTTTTAACTACTAGATATCTGCGCAGCGTGTATCTTTTTCTTTTTCTTTTGTTTTTTCTTTTTTTTTTTACTTGGATTTCCAATGGACATTACTTCCGGGGCTATCCAACAAAGATTGACCCTGTGAAAGTTCCCGCCAGTCAATATGCCAGCGAGTTGTCCCGTCATCATGATCAGCTTGTAATTAATAGAGTACGTACGTACCTACGTACGTATTTCGTGCATGTATTCTCGATCTATATATAATATCTGTTTGGTTTTAATATTTGCATAATCTATTGTACAATTCAGGATTTAGGATAGACTATAGAGAAATGGATGACTGGACATTAATTCAACTTGATCATGCTAGGGAAATGGCAATAGTGTTTTTTTTAATAAAATTTTAAGGCTTATTATCACAAAACGTCCCTAAGGTTTACAAAACTATCAGATTGAATCCTTAACGTTTTTTTGTGTCACTCGTGATCCTCAAGGTTAGTATGTGCAGTCACAAATTCCTAAAATCAAAAACTCCGTTAGTTTGTTGACGTGACATATATATATCACAAAACGTCCCTGAGATTCACACACCTATCACAAATGGTTCCTACGAAATTTTTTAATTTTTTAATTTAAAATTCATAAAATTTTGGTTTTCTTTTTTAAATTATTTATAAATGAAAAAACCATTTATAGAAGGATTTTAATCTTGAGGACCATTTATGAACCCAAAACCCTTAGTTTTTTCATTTTTAAATTTTATTAATTTTAAATTATTTTTTTAAAACTCCATTAGTTTGTTGATGTGGCATATATATGGAGCCCACATCTACAATAATATAGTGTCACATGTATTTAAAATATATTTTTTTTTAATTAAAAAATTAAAAAAAATTGCAGGGACCATTTATGATGGGCACGTGAACCTCAGGGATGTTTTGTGATATATATATATATATGCCACATCAGCAAACTAACGGAGTTTTTGACGGAACCTAACGGCATGGACCATTTGTGATCACACATACTAACCTTGAGGACCACGAATGACACAAAAAAACATTAAGGATGCAATCTGATAGTTTCGTAAACCTTATGGACGTTTTGTGATAATAAGCCAATTTTTAATTTTGTGCTTGTTTCAATCCTAACAAATGTATTACAAAATTCCAAATCATATAGAGGAATTATGTATGTGACCTTAGATACACTCGAATAGTATGTGATGAATATTCCACCAAACCGAGGATTTGTAGATTATCATACTATATATAACACAATAACACTATTTTGCTAACCAATCGATCAAATGATAAGTATAAAATAATGAGAGATTTAGTTATATATTCATTTTTAGTACTAGTGATATAGATAAATCCTACACCATTTAATTTCTATAAATAAACCCCAAAAAAAAAACTCAAAAAATGACAGATGGTCCATTGAATTTAATTTTGATTATTAAATTATGTTGATGCCCTATAGAGTGTTTTGGGTTTCTTTATGAGATTTTGGGGTTCGGCTTGTTTTAAGAAATTGATGGCAGTTTTGTAATTTATAGGAATTTCAAAGCCTTTTTGTTATGTTGTAAATGGGCTTTGGGTGTATCTCTAAAGTCTATTTCATGTAAGATTTTTTTTATAATTTGGGTATAATAGTGAATCTCCTTAAAATAATTTTGTTTTAAATTAATAAATCCCCGGCTGATACGGATTTAGATTGATCTTCAATTATTAATTGTCCTTTCGGGTCAAATGAGGAATCAGATTCACCAAGAACTTGAGAAAATATCATCAATATGGGGAATCATATCCTTTTTACTTGAGAAAAATATCATCAACTCTCAGAAAATATCCTCTCTCTCTCTCTTTTCTTTTTTTGCTAAAAAGAAAATATCCTTATAAAACAAGCATATCTAGACCAGTCAAACAAGAAGTAGGAACCTAACCAAAAGGAAAAAGAGAAAAGAAAAGAAAAAAACAAATTCAGTTGCTGCTTTTGGTATCTTGCCATATGCTGGTGGGTAGAATGCTGGTGATAATTTGGTGGGCGGGGCAAAGATATGAAAAAGGAGGTGAAGGCAAAATGGAGAAGAAGTAGGCTACAACGGAGGGAGTGAAGGACGACATTGCACCATGCATACACACACAAAGCATATCTCCAATTTTAGGCGAACCAACTAAAAACCAACAATGACAAAACTAATTAATCCAACCTTCGCCGTATAGTTCGAGCCTCCTCACACACAGCAGCGGTTGCCATTAACAATTTTGGTTTAATTAGCTACATGAAAACAAGCATCTATAAATAACACGCACACAGAGAATTAATTCATTCCCCCTCAGTTCAATTCATCTTCATAACAGCCTCCTCCCCCGGAGGCTTATTTTGTTTTACCATTCTTAGCTAGATATATAGTTTGTAAGACCTAGAATTTGAAGGGGGGGCCATGGCCATTGCAGGAATGTCGAGCCACGCCATTCTTATCTTGTGCTTAGCTGCACTGGCCTGTCAAGCTGCCGCAACCGCAGTTACCCTGGTTGTGCCCGATATTTTCCGTGGCACTAATTTGGGTGTCCATGACAAAGTGGATCCTACCGAGAAAATCTTTAACGTGTTGGATCATGGCGCCAAGCCTGATGGGTCTGGCGATTCAAGCATTGTAAAAATTTAGTGACTCTAGCATTATTAGTATTATTACGTACACTTAATTATGATAATTAAATTTTGGGTCTAATGAGAGAAATGGATGGTTTTTGGTTGTAAATTGCGCAGGCTTTCATACAAACATGGATTGCAGCATGCCGCAACCACACCGGGAGATCAAGGGTTGTAATCCCAAAAGGGACTTTCAAGACTGGGCCAGTCATATTTGGAGGGCCATGCAACTGCTCAAAACCCATTGTTGTTCAAGTTTCAGGGACCATCAAAGGCCTGAATGATATTTCCTTGTATGAAGAACCATTCTGGTTCTTGTTTGAACGTGTAGAGGGCTTGGTCCTCACGGGCAATGGCATCTTTGATGGGCAAGGTTCACGTTCCTGGAAAAACATTGATGGCTGCAGCAGTTGCAGTCCACTCCCAGCTGTAAGTTTAATTTAATGATTTATAATTAACTTCTAAATTATATACCATCATAAGAAAGAAACTGACCTTAACTATTGGTTTAATTAATTAATTTACTTAAATAATAATGCAGAGCATCAAATTTAACGATGTCAAAAATGGGGTCATCCGAGGCATCACCTCCCTTAACAGCAAAGGAGTTCACGTTTTCCTCACTAACAGCCAGAACATTAGGGTGCGTGGAGTGAACATCTCTGCCCCTGACACAAGCCCCAACACTGACGGCATCCACATCAGCCACTCCAACAACATCAAGATTGCCAGAGTTCACATTGGAACTGGTGATGATTGCATTGGCATGATTCAGGGATCCACCAACGTTGCCATCAACAATGTTGTCTGTGGCCCTGGACATGGCATCAGGTACATGCATAACTCAATTCTTAATGACTTCGAAACCCTTTTGCTATAATATTGTAACGTCGTTAATAGTCCATATTTCACGGTCTATCAACATAACATGTCAAACTGTCTCATGACTGAATTTGTATGCTCATTTTTATGGATGGCAGTATCGGTAGCCTTGGCAAGTACCAGAATGAAACTGACGTGAGGGGGATCATCGTGAAGAAGACAACGTTTTTGAACACAGACAACGGGATTAGAATCAAATCATGGCCAGGATCAACCCCAAGCCGAGCCTCAAGCATGATTTTCCAGGACCTTATCATGCAGAATGTTAGGAACCCCATCATAATTGACCAAGAGTATTGCACAGGGGGCTGCAACAAGAACCAGGTTTGTTTTAACTAATTCTCTTCATCCACCCTGCCTCCTTTTCACAAACTACTACCTTCTTCAATTTTACCAATTTTCTAGTACATTGAATGAGATCGAACCCATGACTTATCATCTTAAATTTTTAACGGTCTATCATTGAATTTTGTGCAGCCATCGCGCGTACAGATCAGTGATGTTCACTACATTAACATAAGAGGGACCACAGCATCAAAGATTGCAGTGGATTTCATTTGCAGCAGCCAGTTCCCTTGCAAAAATGTTGAGCTTCGTGACATCAATTTGAAGTACATTGGTCCCAGCAATGGCGGGCCTATCACCTCCATATGCAAAAATGCAAAAGTAGGATTTGGTGGCATACAAAACCCACCAGCCTGCCATTAAGCGCCTGCTCTAGTTGAAGACAAGCACCCTTGTCCTGCTTAGCTACATATATGTATGTATATATGTACATGAAGATGATGAGGAGAGCATCTTGGGTTTAAGAAGAAGATTTAATATTGGGGTGTCTCTGAGGTTGATGCATAAGTATGTTAAAAGTAATGCATCTTAGTTGTATCTTTTCCTACAGGTTTCTTATGAAGAGTTGTATCTCTTGATTATATGAGAAGTTGTATCTTTTAGATATCAAAAGTTGCATCTTTTAGATATCAAAAGTTGCATCTGTATCTCTTGAATTAATTCAAGAGTTGTGTCTTATTATGTAAAGGTGTAAATGTAATTATAAATAGCCAATGTTATGGGCAGCTATGATATCAAAGAAGTTAATAAAATCAGTTTGTATAATTCTCTATTTTACAAACACTCTCTGCCTTACTTTATATTTCCATCCTATTCTTCAGTTTTGTGATCATTCCCCCAACAAATTTGGTACCAGAGCAGTATTTGATCTTATCGCTACCGCTCTGATTAGCAATGGCATCAAGTTCAAATTCCTCTACCATTGGGAATATCCAGAATCTAATGCCTATTTTTGATGGTGAGAATTATGAGTATTGGAGTGTAACATCCCGACTAGAGGTGTCAAACGGGACGGGCCGGCCCAGCACGGCACGAGCCCAGCCCGTTTAAATGAGGCACGGCACGGCACGAGCACGAATATTAATGTGCCGTGTTCGGCACGGCACGAAAATTTGGGCCGGGCCGGGATCAAGAAATAGGTCCAATGGACCGGGCTGGCCCATGGCCCGATATGGGCCGGGCTTGGCCCGAGCCCGCTTCAAGCACGGCACGAGCCCAAGCACGGCCCATTTAGCTTTCTTTTTTTCTTCTCAAAATGTCAAAATGCAATAATTTGACATCTAATGTCATTGTTTATATGTTTTTTTTATTAAAAAAAATCATAAACATATATTTGATGTCTTTCATTTTAGGAAAATTACTTGGGTCCTTAGTTAATTAAACATATCAACTACAAATTAATTAAACAACATTGGACTTGATATCTAATCAATACATATGACATATACGCTTCCTATAATCAAAGCAAAACATTTCTTCACATATAAAATAATAAGTTGTTTAAAGATGAAAAGTTCAAGTGGACTTTGTGGAGTTGGATATTTTTTGCCCTCCGCCCCTTCATATTGTTTGGATGTTTGATTGATTAATATTTTCAAATAGTTCATAATTTCTTGCCTCTAATTATATTTTTAATGTTTATAAATTGAATTATCTAGTGGAAAAAAAAAATCAAGTGAAAAAAATTCAAATTAAATGGGTTGGTTCTTGGGCCCGAGTATGGCACGAGCACGAGCACGGGCACGGCACGAGCCCGGCCCGGCCCGTTTAAATATGGACATGGGCTTTGGGCAGGGCCGGGATCAATGATTTTATTAAATGGGCCGGCACGGCACGGCCCGATAAATTAAATGGGCCGGCCCGACACGGCACGAAAATGTTAAAAGCACGAGTTTAAATGGGACGGGCCGGCCCAGCACGGCCCGTTTGACACCTCTAATCCCGACCCAAAATAAGACTATTCACTAATTAATTTAATTTAATTTAATTGATTTTCCAATTTTGCCCTCGGGTAGGGGCAAAATGGTCTTTTTTGTCCGGGAAGAGTTTGGGGCAGCGATTTGTAATTTTAGAAAGGTTGTACCGAGACGAGTCCGTAGACACGTAGTGGGCTCAATTTGGAGTTGAAAAGAAGAAGATACGATCTAAAAACCTCCAGTGGCAAAACCGTAAATAAACTGAAAATGAATTTGTAATAAAATCAGAAAATAAGCCCTCATTTCTCTCTCTCTCTTCCCTGTCGCGCACCCCCTCCCCTTCACAATTTTCCTTCAGCCGCAACTCCCATCCTCCATAACCACCGCAGCTGACCACCACCGGCCACGGGTCCGGCCAAGATCGAACCCCCACCGCCTCCTCTTCCCACCCCGGTCAGTCCCAACTGTCGTCAACGGCGTCAGCTGCCGGAAAACGCAGGAAAAGCCATCGGTTTTGACAGAACATCAAGCCGTTCGATCTCCGCCGTCCGGCCACCGATTCCGACGAGTGAGGTATGGAAATCCATCTACTCTTTGTACTCTAGCTGCCTGTTGGATAGGATTTGGCTGATTTCTAGCTTAAAAAATTCGATTTTGAACCCTAAGTTTGGCCGGTTTTCAAATTGAAATTCCGGCCACTTCCGTCGATATTTTGGGATATGTCCAAAAACAAAAGTGACTCCAAATTAGGTGTTTTACCTAGGGTAGGAGTCTTGAGCAGTGATTCTGAGATTTTCCGGCGAAGCGATATCGCTTTGGACACCCACGCGCTGGGGGCATTATGTCCCAATGCGATACTTAGGTTGTCATGAACGCTTAGGAGGTTGCGGATCTCAATTCGGATAACGTTTGAACCCCGAACGGATTTTACATAACGTGTGTTATCCAAGTTCAATAGGTTAGAACCGTTGGATCACTTCCAAGCTTTTATATGTTGTTCCTTGTATTCCTAGGATCGTGTAGGAATTCGCAGATCGTGAATCGGAGCCCCGGATGTTCCAATTCAATAACTTAAAGTTTATGTTTTACGATAATCGTCCGACCGTGAGCTATTTGACCACCGGGTTGACCGAGCGTCTTCCGAGACTATTCCAACACTCGAAACCCTTAGTTGGACCTTAGGAACGTTTCGTTCCTCATGCTTACTTGAAACCTGGGAAATTAGAATTTTAATTTAAAGTCCTTATTCGAAGAGTTTGATTTTAATATTGTGCTCGTATTCTGAAATAGGTAATCCGACTCCGCATACACAGCAGGCGAGACTCTCACAGGGTCAAGCAGTGTGAGACTACTTGTGAGTGGACTTTGTTTCCAAATAATAAGCATGGTTTTATGATGGAAAATTTATGCATATGGTTTTAATGGGTTATCGAAATATTTTATATATTTGATTATTGGATTAAATATGTTAAGAAGTATTAGTGTTATATATATTTGGGTTTTGATATTTTCAAGTATCTTGACTTATACTTATATGATTTGGGAAAGTATTATCTTGTTGAGTATATGTGAGAGGTACTCGGGAAGTTGTTGTGAGGTGTGGAAAATGGTGAGATTTAGAATGTCGGGTTGAAGTGTTATAAGCACTACCCTGTGTACCTGCCCTGAAATGGAACTTGGAAATGGAAACGTGAGATACTTGAAAATGTCAGGACCCAGGGCATACCTTAACGGGGTGTCGCTGTAGACCCTTAATTGGGTAGTTTGCCCGCGTAGGACTTTTCCAGGCGTATAGGTCTTGATTCTTCATCCGTACGTGCTGGGTTAGAATGTCAGTCCCCCAGTTGGATGACTCATCCCTAGCCACATGGTCTTTGAGGGCGGTTTACATGTGGTTAGTCAACAATCCCCTATTAGATTGTTTCCCCGGTACAACTAGGTGTTATATATATATATATATATTATATCTCCTATATAATACATAGATACAAATCTATACATATATAGCTACTCATTTGTTCCTGTTTTTCTCAATGAGGATACTTTCTCGCTGGTCATGCCATTGGGCACATATTTTCGAGAGTTTATATTGAGAAATTATAAGGAAAGGTTTGGATGGGTTGTTTTGCAAGCTTCATTATGGATTTTCAGATTTAACTCTAGTTTTGAGCAAACTTTATATATAATATTGGATATGATGGTTTCTATTGCATTGGTTTTTATGCATGTTTTTCTAAACTGTGGGGTTATATTACTTTGTTTTAAATGGAACTAAACTTTGTTTTGTCCACTCACAATTCTCTGTTTTGCGCCCCCCAGCCAGTAGTTGACTGGAACGAGCAGCAAAGCTGTCGTGCGCTCCTGAATCGCTAGCTTCAGTACTCCGAGCCTTCATAGAGCTTCTGTACTCTGTAAATTAGTTAAACTCCCTTTTCTACTTGTTTGTTGAATTCTATTAGATATGCTCTGTTATTGCCCTGTTACGGTTTGTTTTGTGAGGCCGGAGGCCACTGTTTGTAAACACTATGTATTGTGTAACGCATGCTGGCTGTTTGGTTGTAATTGTTGTGTTTTAACAGGTTGAAATTTTGGGATTATGTTCAGTTTACAAGGGAGACTCTGCCAAAATTTTGGTAGAAAGTCTCGGTTCTGAGTAAGTGGGCCCGGCATCTGTAGGATGTTGGAAATTCAGACGGGATCCGTCCCAGTTTCCGAGGAAATCCGGGGCGGGTCCTGTCATGGAGCGTTCAAATGAAGACTATTTATCTCCCAAGATCTTTGGGATATTATAGAAGATGGGTATGAGGAACAAGAAACTTCAAAAGCAGGAAAGGAAACACAAGAAAAGTAGCAGACTTACAAGGAAAATAAGAAAAAAGAAGCCAAGGCATTGTTCCTAATTCAACGAGTACGTAAAAATCTCTTTCCAAGATTACTTTCAGCAACAACATCAAAGAAGGTTTGGGAAATTCTCAAAATTGAGTTCAAAGGTTCAGAAAAAATTTCTTCAATCATGCATGATTGTTAGTGGAGTCGCACCAGATTGTCTTAATTTTGATGTTAAACCGCTCTGTTATTGTAATGGCCTGCTAGTGGCTTTTTTGGCTGATGCAATCCTAGAATTTCTCAACAACAAAAAAAGAATGTTTGTTATCGAAATAATAGACAATATAGGCAGTAATAGTATTGGCAGTATATCGACATGATATCGATATAACGAGACTATTTGCTATAATGATACTTTTATTTGAAAACCTTGTTACAATCCTAATACTATTTGAAAACCTTGTTATAATCCTAATACTATTTGAAAAACTATATTACACGAATATTGCTATTTGATAGTATCGCTTGATCATTTTTGCAGATTCACACACCTCTTTTTTACATGAAATGAAATCTTCTATAATCCTCTTGTCAAAAAGGGCAAAAAAAAAAGTTAATTTAATTTAGGGCTAACGACAAAAGACTTTCTGAATGTTTGGGATCATTCTCAATATGGACCCTAAGGTTTCAATTAGGGTTGGCATTCAGACCGGTAACCTGGTCAAACCGCCCAACCAAACCGATAGTTTAGGTTGGTTTGATTTTTTTTCAATTTTTTTTTTGTCATTGGTTTGAACCCAAACCAGATCGAAATATATGGTTCGGTGTACGGTTTGCAATATTCAAACCCACGGTTTAACCAAACCAAACCGGTGGTATTAAAAATATATTATATATAATACACAATTCTGATCTCTTGGACTACAGGGGTCCAAGAGATTTGTGGTCACTCACCGTTGGATATAAATTCAACGGTTCACTCACTCTTGCACTCCTTTTAAGAAACTTTTTTGAACCATTGGATTAATATTCAACGGTGGGTGACCACAATCTCTTGGACTCCTGTGGTCCAAGAGATCGGGACTGATATAATACATAGTTTAAAGAAGTAAAATAATAATAAAAAGTTGGCTTTTGTTGTTGGGCATGCCAACACACATGCCTAACTGAATTTTTTTTTAAACCCCCAACACACTCATGCATCTTGTCTTCTCTCTTTTTTTTATTCTTTTTTCTTTTTCTTCCCTCTCCATCTCCTCTCCATCTCTCCGTCTGTCTTGTCTCCATCAGTCACTCTCTCTCTCTCTTTTTTTCTCCTTCTTCTTATGTCTGTCTTCACTCCCTCTCCTCGTCTCCCTCTTCTTCTTTTTTCCTTCTTCTCCTCTCCATCTCTCCCTCTCTCCATCGCTTTTATTTCTTTTTTCTCTCTCTCTCTCTGAAAGTCAAAAAACTCAAACCAAACAAAACCAACTCACCAAGTCTGGTTAACTGAAGTGGTCGGTTTTCATCAATTATAGTTTGGTTCTAGTTTCCAAACTAGCCAAATTGAGGCCTATGGTTCGGTATCCGAGTTGAGCTCAAAACAGAACCAACCCAGACCGAGCCCACCACTAGTTTCAATTTCATCAATTTACACCTCAATATTTTCAAATCTGACCAATTTAAGCCTTCTGTTAAGTTGACCGTTTAATCAGATGTTAATTGATGACATGTCAACTGTGGGACCCACTTCTAACCAATCTCTAAAACAAAAATTTATATAAAATGATAAAATAAGAATAATCTGAAATTTAAAAATTAAAAATAAAAATTCCCAACCCCTTTCCTGCCCAGCGCCCGCCATGTTCCCCATCCCCTCAACTCGGCCACCTCCACCACTGAGAAACATAGCAAGATAAAATCTCTGAATTCCTATTGATGAAAACACAACCTGACTCAAACATAACAAAAACTCATAATCTCATGAAATACACAAGTACAACCTTTCCAACTAATATCTCTTGAAATCCAAGTCCAAGTATGCTATCAAATTTGGCTACCAAAAATGACTCCAAGATCCTTGGTTGTCTCGATAAATTCCTGAAACAAACTACCTGTATCATTTAAGGGAAACCACCAACAAGAAGCTACACTTGTACGATTGAACCAGCGCCCACACCCACCAAGTTGCACCAAACCACAACGCGATCCACCCCACCCCTGACCATACAACCCGAGCAATAATCCCATCCCAGCAAAATCGCAAAGAACAAACAAAAATACAGAACCACACATGGTGGCCCAATCCCTGCGATACAATCTGGAGAATCACCCAACTCTTACAATATTTTGATATTACTATAAACCCACAAAAAATTGGAAGAATAATAATTACCATGATTGGCCATTGGTTTGCTAATTACTGAGCAAACCTTAACGTCGGCGTCAAGGAGGACGCCGCTCTTGATCAAAATCTCGACGATGTGGCAGTGGAGGCGAGCGAGGATTGAATTGACATCGCTTTGGGTGCGGAGCTTGTCAACGGAGAGATTGGGGGTCTAGCATTTCTAGGATAGTGAAATGATGTCGCGGAGGGTCTGAGAGACGGAGATAAGGTGGAGGGAGAGAGGGTGGGAGACGGAGGTTGGGAAGTAGGCGTCGGCGAGATTGTGTAGGGAACAGGAGGCGCTGGGCAGGGAAAAGGCTAGGTTTTTTTAAGGTTTTTTTTTTTTTCTTTTCTAATTTTATATATTTTTTTTATCATTTTATATACAATAAAAAATTGAATTTGTTAGTAAGTAGGTCCCACAATTGACACGTCATCAATCAAAGTCTGACCAAATGGTTAATTTAACGGAAGGTTTAAATTGGTCATATTTGAAAACATTGGGATGTAAATTTATGAAATTGAAACCCCATGATCCATATTGAAAATGACCCCAAACCGTCATAGGTGTTTTGTGGTTAGTCCTTTAATTTTAGGTTTTGGCTTAACGAAACGACGCCGTTTTCACGTGAAGAACTTTAGAAATGAAAATCAGAGTCACTCACGAAATCATCTGAGTGTCGACAGTTTCACAAGGCCAGGAGAGCGACAGAGAAATCGCGAAATGGCATACGCCGCCGCCCGGCGCACATTAGCCTTAGCCCTCACCCGAACCCTCGCTTCAACTCGTACCTGCTCAAAATCCTCCTTCTCTTCTCGCTCTCGCTTCGCTGTGGCTCTTCTCAACAAACAGCAAACCCAGCTCCTACCCGACCTGGTGAACATCACGACCCGGTCCAAACATTCCGGGCAGGGTTACTCGCCCCTGAACGACGCGACTCCAAACTGGAGTAACCGGCCGCCCAAGGAGACCATCCTCCTCGATGGCTGCGACTACGAGCACTGGCTCATCGTCATGGAGTACGACGACCCCAAGCCCTCCGAGGAGGAGATGATCAATTCCTACGTCAAAACCCTAGCCACCGTTCTCGGAAGGTACCAACTTGACCCATTTCTTTAATTCGGGTTTTTTCCCCTTTTTTATATTTTTAGATTTTGATGGCTTGGGTTTTAGTGAGGAGGAGGCGAAGAAGAAGATATACTCTGTTTCTACGTCGACGTATACTGGATTTGGTGCTTTGATTTCTGAAGAGCTTTCTCTGAAGGTCAAAGGTAATCGTTTCTGGGTTCTGGATTTTAGGGTTTAAGGTTTGGATTTTCAAGCTTGGCTTGCTATGAATTTTAGGTATTTCCTGTGTTAAGTGACTAAGGGTTAAGGTTTAAGGAGTAAAGCATTTCTCTTCTTATGAAGTATGGTTATTTCTTCTGAAAAAGCATTTCTTTTTTTATGGATTATGGTTGTTTGTTTGAATTTCTTTTAGAGTATGGGTTTAAGAGTTAAAGTATAGTTCTCTATATGAATTATGACTTTCTGATTGAATCACAATTAGATACCAAGGGTTTACAGTTTAAGAGGTTGAAGGGTGGCTTTTGACTTGTATTGGCTTCAACTCTGTAACTTTCGGTTGAATATGATGGTTTTCCCGCTTGTTTTTCGTTTGATGGTTTTCCAGCTCCTATTGGTTCCAATTTTTGCGTTGATATACAATTTGATGTGTTATTCTATTGTTCCTCTTAAATAGGGTTGCCTGGTGTTCTCTGGGTTTTGCCGGATTCATATCTCGATGTGCCCAACAAAGATTATGGAGGTGGGTAGAGTGCGAAACTTAAACTCATTTAGAAATTATCAATTTTTACCTTGCTAATTGTTATTATATTTGTTTTGTTTAATTTATCTTTCTCTGCAACACTTATAGGGGATCTATATATCGATGGGAAAGTCATCCCAAGACCACAGTATAGGTACAATGAAAGGCAACAGCAAACTAGAAACAGGCCTCGTCCACGATATGATAGGCGCCGGGAGACAATGCAGGTTGAAAGGAGAGAGCCAATGCAAGGACAGAGCTTGGGCCAGGACAGGAGAGAGCCTGTGCAGCAAACAACACAAAGTTCCTCCCAAGGTGGAGGGACAGGGACAGGTTCCACCAGGAACCAAGGAGAGTTTAACAGGGGCAATGTTTAAGGATTCAAAATATAGTTGCAAATTCTCAGAACTCCCTATAATATTTCTTATGATGAATGACAACTTGGCATTTTCTATGTTTCACGACAATCTTATGAAGTAAGCAATGTGAATATCTCTGTTGCTCCATTTTGGGATTTCTTTCTTTGAACACTATCTGGTATTTGGCTCATGTTTATTTATGTTGAGTTTATGCACTCAAGATCAGCGAGTATTAGAATGAATTTTTACTCTACAATTATCTGTTGAATCTATCTGGTATTTGGCTCATGTTTATTTAAGTCAATCTGTATGTTGCCTTCTTTACATACATTATTAGATATTGAAATACATATGTTCGTAGTATGCTCTTCTCCAGTGGGCTTTGGGACTTCGTCATGGAAAAGGTACTTCAGTTGTATGAAATGGGGGTAGCACTGTTTTGTTATCCTCGGCCAATCACGGTATGCCAAGTGGAAAAATGATCATGCGTGGCATACCATGAAACTCCAACATGAGGCGTGATGGATCGTAGGTGTTGAAGAAAAGGCACCTTCTTCCTCATGCTCTGTACGGAATTTACAAACTGGTGGGTTGTTTGAGTATGAGATGAGAAGTTTCCATCTCATGTCAGTTGAAAGAAGTGGAAGTATGTGCATTTTGTTCCTTGCGGTTGGTAGATGTGAAAAACTACTGCTTCTTTCATTACCTAGTAGGTGAAATTTCTGTGCAGAGAAAGATCCCAATTTCTGTGCAAAGATTTATATGTAAATGATGCTCGGTTTTGCTCCTGTGTAGGACTTTGAAATATGGCACAAAATGATGCGTACGTGGGTTATGAGCTTCAAATCAAAGTTTTGATGTCTAGCTTTGGCTTGAAAACAAGTCTAATTAATCAGGGACAAGACTTGCTCCAAACTTGTTCAATCCTCACTCAAATGCCAATAACTAGGACAAGATTAACCGCATACATTTACATATTTTGATCCACAACAAAACATTGGAACAACAACCTCTGCAATTTTGAAAATTAAATCACATATAATGTTTGATATTGCATATAATAACCCACCAGAAAGGTTGTAGCAAGTAGCAGGTGGTTCAATTGGTTAGCCAGATTCAAAAAACAGCCATGTAAGTTGCAACTTGGTAGGAAAACAAAATAACCATCCTCATTTCAGGCTTCAGCAGTTAAAGCTCGCCCAAAATAGAAAGGTGACAAATTGGCACCAAAAAGAAAATGAAAACAATATTCTAATTCTTCCTCACCCCTCTCCAGTGTATTATTTGACGACAAGCTAGCTTCCGAGTCAATTTGGCACAAAACAAACCCCTCTCTGTCTCTCTCTGTCTCTCTCGCTCTCTCTGCCTCTGCCTCTGGAATCTACAGATCTCAAAAACCTCTATTTCTCTCAGGTACGCATCTGATCTCGTTTCCTTTGATCCAAAAATTACAAAAAGTAAAGAACTTTAATCGCAAACCATGAATTCCAACTTCGACTTCGATCTGGGTCTCGGATCGAGCCGACCCAAATCGCTCAACGACCAGAAGAACAAAACCTCTACCTTTTCCTCCACCGCTTCGGGGCAATCCAGACCCGCCTGGCAACCCCAGACCAACAAAACCACCTCCTGGACTCACCAGCCCGCTCCGTCCCAGACGGTCCGACCCGGATTAACCAACGCCCCAGCTTCCATGGTCGGCGATATCTTCGGCAAGAGTTGGGGTTCCGCAGCTCCTTCGGTTTCTAGCACCCCGATTGCGGTCGTCAATAAAAACCCAAATTTGTTCGGAGATTTGGTCAGCTCTGCAATGGGTGGTAAGATCAATAGTAATAGCAACGTTCCTTTAAAGAATGCAACCCCAGCTTCGAATAAGAGCTCGTTTTCCATGGGAAACGTGGCCGATTCGTTGCCCAAAACCACCCCTGCCACTGGTAATGGTTCGGTGAAAAGTGGTGGTGCAAATTATGGTGCTTCTGGGAATTTTGGGAGTTTTTCTACTGGGTTTAATACTAGTAATACGATTAACAATAGCGTTAATGCTAATAGTAATAAGAGTCCAAACATCGGAGGTCCTTCGCTGCGAAATATGGGCAGTTCTAGTGTTGGTGTTGGTGGAATTGGCAGTGGATTGAGCTCTAAGAAAGACCCATTTGGTTCTTTGGTTGATCTCGCATCAAAACCATCGGCTACTATAAATTCATCCAGTAAAAGTAACAATAAAAGTAGTGTTCCTAGTGATGATGCTTTTGGAGATTTTCAGAATGCTCCAAAGCCAAGCACCACCGCTGCTACATTTGCGTCTAGTGGCTTCTCCTCGAATGATAACAGTTTTATGGGATCAAACTCGGGTTCTGGCTTTGGGGATTTTGGGATTTCACCGAACCCGAACCCTGTTCAGTCTACTAGTAGTGATCCCTTCGACACTTTATTTGTCCCATCATCGGGTTCAGCTGGAGGTGCTGCAACAGAAAATAATGGAGTTGGAGTGCAGCAATCCTCTGACATTGATGACTGGGGGACAGAGTTTGGAGGAGGACATGATGTGGGTGGTTCGACAACTGAGCTTGAGGGTCTTCCACCTCCTCCTGCTGGGGTGTCAGCTTCAGCAGCAAAGAACAAGGGAATGGATAATTACAAGCAAGGGCAGTATCCTGATGCTATTAAGTGGCTTTCTTGGGCTGTAGTTCTTCTTGAGAAATCAGCTGATAGCTCTGCTGTTGCAGAGGTCTTGTCAAGCAGGGCTTCATGTTACAAAGAAGTAGGAGAGTATAAAAAGGCCGTGGCAGACTGCACAAAGGTATCTTGATTGCTTTACTTTTTAATCTGTTTAGGTATCTTAAAAATTTCCTTTACATTCTACAATTTATGCACATTTCAAGTTGTCAATTTTTGCGATTAAAAATTTCCTTGTTAATGCTGTTGGCCTAAAGTTGTAAGAGCTGCACATCTGTATAAGCTACTTGAATAAGCTGGCTATTTTTAATTAGCAATAAGCTGGCAAGGAAATGGTTGCAGAAAAGGAATATTAGTTAAATACTTGCTCGTAGCCTTATCTCAATTTTGCATGGGGTGGGATAGGGTGAAGAGCAGATCCTAGTTGAACTCCTCTTGAAAGTCAAAAGAAAAGGGAGAATTAGCGCAACAAGTTTACGTATTAGCCATCCCTACTTAGAGACCAACTAAAAGTCAGACTTGCTATTTTGGCCTTGTTGATGGCCCCCGGGCACCCGCCCACCCTGTTCTTCACCTGTTTCTTTCAAACTAAAATAGCATTTTCCTTTTCTCTAGCTTTTTTTTATTGAACATGTTAGATTGATGTAGTAAAAGAAATGTTTTCAAACGGTCCCAATCAGTTCAGCAGTGCATGTAGATGTATGGCTCGTTGGCTCTGCTAGACACAGTACACATTCAGTATTTACAATTACTTTTTCTGCTTATCAAGGCTGTTGATCAGTTTAAACTTGATGAGATTATGTTTTCCTTCTTTATTTCTCCATAGAAGAGAGTTCATAGATATGTTCATCCCTCTGCAGGTTCTAGAACAAGATGATGCAAACGTATCTGTTCTCGTACAGCGTGCGCTCTTGTATGAAAGTATGGAAAAGTACAGACTTGGGGCAGAGGATCTGAGGACAGTTCTGAAGTTTGATCCTAGTAACAGGGTTGCAAGAAGCACCATTCACCGCTTGACACAAATGGCAGACTAGAGGATTTTTGAAACTTGATAATACTAGTTCATTCATTTGGGTTGATTGATGCCCTCTCCCCTCCCCTGTTACCATGATAGATTTCTGGGGAATTATAATATTTTACTTGATACTTGGCCTTCCCGATAGTTTCACGTGTATGTTGATGTATTCCGTTTCTTCTGTTGCTTGTGACTGGAATTTGGAAATGGTTCTTTGGTACTTACTTGAGAGTGGTGTTGGAATTGAAAGATTGAATTGCAATGTACCTTGTCTTCCAAATGTGAGGGAGGCACTCGTGCTATTATTTGTTTGTTGATCTGGTGAGTCCTGTTATCATTTGGTCTTTTCTTTTCTTTTCTGTTTCTCTTCTTTCTCAGAACCATGGGCATGCTTGGCACTCTCAATCAAGCGTCCAAATAGACGGCAGCATAGATTCTGCTTCTGTTGAGTGGAACTTTAATTTGTTGCAGAACCATGTTGCAATCTTTTCTCTCTTTTTGGTCAAAATTGTTGCAATCTTATTTATGAGATAATGCGTAATTTTATTTGTACTTTCCTGAGAGTAGAAAAGTCGGCACTCAGAAGTGGATGAATAATGCCGCTTTGCAACTTGCATGCATATGTACATATAAAATATGTGCAACTAGTTCCTTAGATTTGATCAAAATCATGAGGATTGAAGAAGCTCTGATTTGAAGGTCACCCACCACCATATGTACAAGGGAATTGTTTATAAAATAAAATAAAATAATGTGAAAAGATTCCAGCCCTGATTTGAAGATCACCCACCACCACACCCAGTTGGGAAGAAAGAAAAAGGACCATTCTTTCAAATGCTTTTGTCTTGTTTGATGCTGTTATGTTACGATCATGATTTTTCCCAATTTCAAAGCCACTCTGAGCCTCTGAGCATAAACAAAGAGACATTTAAGTTTCTGCCAGTACCCAACCAGCCAGCTGATGCAGAGCTGCTGCTTCTTCCAAACCTCATAAAGAAATGGTATAAATATCATTCAATTGAAAGGTCAAATTAAGGACTTCATCTACCTCTCTCTATCCCTCTTGGTTAAAAAAAATATCTTCTCTTCTGGGTTGTCTTAAATTGATTGGCCTCATTAAATTGTGTACCAGTAAGTATATGCAATAAAATAATTGATGATAATGGAAGCCTAAAAGAGGGTGACATGTGAGTGAGTGTTCTTTTTTTTTTTTCCGTTCTTTTTGTTTGTTAGGGAATACTATTTGCCTTAGTACTGATAAGGAGATACTCCTCCTTCTTGCGAATTACAATTTAACACATATGCAAAAATAATTCATTAAAAACACAAAAAGAAAAACTTTTGCACACATATCACACTACTATTGATATGAATGAAGGAATACTTACCTGATAAAGAGGGAAGTATTTTCCTTGTTAGGGGAGGGGGAAAGAAACAGAAAGCGTTACTTTTCAACTTAGCTGCTTCCTAAAAGCCTGCCATGTTATGCCCTTCTGGCTTTGGATGACGAAATTCTGTCCTCCATGAAAAATATCTTCTGCTCTGCCATAGATATGAATTGCCAGCTTAGCCTTGGGCCTGGTGGTCCCTGCTTTGCCTTTCCTAGGCAATTAAGCCCATCCCTATTCCCTTGGGCTACAGCTCCGCATTATTGGCTTACCCCACTCTTTTGTAACGCATTATATCATATCATGGAGGCTATAATGAAAGGTTATAATGAGCAAGAATTCTATAGTGTAGGTTTTATCTAAGACCCTTAAATGAAGCTCTATCTCTTAATCGTTGGATCAAATTAGTTAGTTTGATCCAACGGTTAAGAGATAGGATCTTATCTAAGGACTTTAGATAAAGCCCTTATTATAGAATGACTCGGTACTCTATAATGAGAGAGTTCTCAATAGTCGTCCGAGCCAGTACAAAGTTATTATTAGACTGCTACATTAAACCCCCTCATTGCAAGTAAAGTAATTTCTCGTTCTGCTCAAGCCCTTTCATTTTGGTAGCTAAAAGCCCTCACATTTGATTAATTTAGTATTCAATCAAAAACATTGTGTTCTTCTATTTATTTTATATCAGTTAGATAACTAAACAACTTGTAATTTGCTTTATTTTTTTATGTAGGTCATTTTTAAAGGGTGTCCTACAAGACGGGCTCTCAAGCATCAAATCACATTGCATAATGAAAAAAGTATAAAGGAGAAGTAGAAACGGAAGCATTACCCTACTATTATTATGTGAGCCTTGTCACATGATATGATGGGTAACCCTAGATGCACTTCTCCAAAAACTTGTTGCACTTCTTTAAAGGGTGCATGAAGACAACTAGATTGCACAAACAAATAGGACTCCACCATCTTTTCCCAAAAGTCTAAAAAGCTTCTTCTTTCTTTTACGAGTTGAAAATCTTTAAAACTTGTGGACTTCATTTAGCCAAAAACACATACAAGCAACCCCGAAAATTCCGAACGCCAAGATTGTAATTAGCACAAACCTCAGGGTCATTTTACCAACAGTGTCACTCCAAAAGACAAAAGCGCATGCGCGAGGCCTTCGACTCAACCGTTAAATTTTGGAACCAACTCTGACGCTCGCGTTACACTTATTCGCACACCGAGCCAAACGCAAAGTAACATTTTTTTTACCGTCGTGTGTAACTGCCGAACTTACAGTCCACCACGTCATCAATCTCTCAGTCAAACTTGCTCCCCAGCGGAACCCCACCCCCAATCGTACGGTCACCATCAATTCACCCCTAATCTTTATCCTGTAGACCCACGCATCTCCCCAGTCCCTCTTTTGATTCCTTCACTTTTTCCCACCGGGCCTTTTGCCCTTTTTGCATCAAACTTTTCTGCACCGTCCGATCACGGGCCCTACCCAAAAAAAGAAGGCCCACTAAAAAGTTTTGTCTTCACGTGAAAAAGTTTTGCTTGTAACCGACGGTTGTCTATAAATGGAGGGCCGAAGAGCGGCCACTCTCTCCCTCTGTGTTTTATGTCATGCGAAGCCTCTTTTTTGTGTTGAAGTTACTCCTCCTGTAAGTGGCAATATCAACAACATGTGTGGTGGCGCTATCATTTCCGACTTCATCTCCGTTAAGCGCGGCCGGACGCTGACGGCGGAGGACCTCTGGTCCGAGTTCGACACCATCTCTGACTTCCTTGGCTTAGACCACTCCTCCTCCTCCAACAACAACAACAACAACAACAAGAAGGAACAGTTTGAGCATCAGCAGAACAACACGAGGGTGGCTCAGAAGCCAAAACCACCTCTCTCTAAAGGTATCTATAGGCATTTTCCTTCCTGGTCTTATCTAAAAAGGCTCTGCTTGCTTTTTTCTTTTTTTTAAAAAAAAATCTTGAAATTTGTCTGCTGGTTGCTGAGTTGTTGGTTTTCGTTTTCTATGCTTCTTTATGATGTTTTTTTGCTTTCACTGGGAGCTCTTTGGATTTAGATTTTCACAAGATTTTCACTAGTGGGGTGTTTTATTTTTTTTTCTTTTAAGCATAAACTTGGGCTCTTTGTTTATGTTTTATTTATTTTTCTTCTCTTCTTCCATGGTTTTGAACTTGAAGCTGGTAGTTGCACTAATAATTAGGAAAAGTGAGTTATTGATTTTGCCCGAAGTCAGATTTTGCAATTAATTACTTACATACAAGTAAGGTGTTTCCTAATTATCAATAAAATCCCTATCGCCTTTGTGTCAAGAATAAGATCTTAAAAGTCATTATTATATTCCACATATGATATGATATATCATGTTCTATACAAGAATAATTTTGTGCTCATGGAAACCGTGATTGGTGTGATGCAATAGGAGCAGGGACAAGCGAGAAGCCCAAGAAGACGTGCCCAGGTGCAGGCGCACAGAAGGAGGAGGTGGGCAAGGCCAGTGATAAGAATAAGAGAGTGAGGAAAAACGTGTACAGAGGAATAAGACAGAGGCCGTGGGGCAAATGGGCAGCTGAGATTCGTGATCCGCACAAAGGCGTCCGTGTCTGGCTCGGCACTTACAACACAGCAGAGGAAGCCGCCAGAGCCTACGATGACGCCGCCAGGCGCATCCGCGGCGGCAAAGCCAAGCTCAACTTTCCGGAATTACCGTCTTCTTCAGTTCCAGCTCCTGCTCCTGCAACTGCAACACGGCCTTTGAAGAAGCGGTGCGTTGTTGGTCCAGCCGAGTCGACTCAGTCGAGTTTGGGGAGCAATGGAAATTGTTGTAACTATGATCCGTTTGAGGGTGGCGATATTTATGGAAAGAAGGAGGTGGGTGGTGAGTATGAGCTGAAGGAGCAGATATTAAGCTTGGAATCGTTCCTGGGTCTGGATGAGGAGGAGGCGAGTGAGGTGAATGGAAGCGGTGGTGGTAAGCCGAACAAATCGTTGGACCTGTGGATGCTAGGTGACCTGGTTACACATCATCAACAGCAGCAGGGTGGTCAGCTTCTGTAGTAAGGAACAAAGTTGTAGTGGCTAAGCTCTCTCTCCATATAATTATAATATTATATATGTAGCCTGTAGGGGTTTAAATTGCGTGTGGAACTGGAAGGGACTCTGTGTGTCTGAGTCTTTGACTGTGACTGTGACTGCGACTGCGTGTGTTTTGTTTGTTTGAGAGCGAGAGAGAGAGCGAGCGTATGTAATGTATTATGTAATGTGAGCTGCTTTGGTATTTACGTATTTTAATATATATTTATATATATATATATATATAGCAAGTAACTACTTTGGTGAATTATTTACGAGAGTTGAGTTTATATTATGAATAAGAATAAAGAAGCGGGTGTGCGTTCGCATCATCATTCTTGCTGCCGGCGTCTGTGTTCGTTTGGCGAATTAAGCCTTGGTTGTGCTCCCATCTCATGTCGGTTCATGCATCTGAATCTGATGCCTGCCTGCCTAGGTATAATATAATAATTGGCGTTTTCTTATTATTATTATTATTATTATTATTCTATGCGAGTACAATTATACGATATGCATGAGTGAGAAAATTAAGATGAACAAATATATATAATGTATGGCATCAGAATTAAGATGGGGGGGTATGTATCTAAATTTTTGTCTTATTTGTTGGACCTAGCTAGCTATTAGCTAAGTTGGAATCACGACCCTGTTTAGTATATGGTATATATATATATACATAGACAATAGTATTGAGATAATCAATTATGGTAATCCTTTGATCGTATCGAAGGAGTTTCGTACTTTGTCAACAATTTATAATGAAAATGAAACCTACCTAGGTGATGCTTAAAGCTAATTAATAAAACTGTCTCCACACATCACATGGCTTAGGGAAGAGGAAAAAGGAGGGGAAAATAGAGTAGGATTTCAACCGAAAATAAATTTTTTTTATATTTTAATTATGTTTACCTCTTTTTAGTTTTCCAATATAAATTATTTTTAAAATTTTAAATTTATTTTAGAATTAAAAAAGATATTGGGTAGTTGTGTTCCATAAAAATAAGATCTATTATCTGATTTTTCTTTTAATTTTAATTTTAACATAAAGAAGTATGAATTTACCATATTATCTTCATTTAATTAATAATTTCAATATTTAATGTTTGCATTAACCAATGACATTTTCTGATATTTTAAATGTTTTATCATTCTCTGCATTTTGCTTTATATATAGATTAGCCTCTCTGCACACGCTTCCGCACCTGCGAGAGGCTTTTTTTATTATAAAAAATTTAAATTTATTTTAGAATTGAAAAAGATAATGGGTAGTTGTGTTCTATAAAAATATGATCCATTATCTGATTTTTCTTTTAATTTTAATTTTTTTAAATATGAAAAAGTGTGAATTTACCATATTATCCTCATTTAATTAATAATTTCAATTCTTAATATTTTATCCTCATTTAATTAATAATTTCAATTCTTAATATTTTATCCTCATTTAATTAATAATTTCAATTCTTAATATTTTATCCTCATTTAATTAATAATTTCAATTCTTAATATTTTATCCTCATTTAATTAATAATTTCAATTCTTAATATTTTATCCTCATTTAATTAATAATTTCAATTCTTAATATTTTATCCTCATTTAATTAATAATTTCAATTCTTAATATTTTATCCTCATTTAATTAATAATTTCAATTCTTAATATTTGCATTAACCAATGGCATTTTCTGGTATTTTGAATGTTTCACCGTTCTCTGCTTTTTGCTTTATATATATATATATAAGACAAGAAGGAATGGTGTCGGTCTTTTGTCACTTCATGCCACTCTCTCTCTCTCTCTCTCTCTCTCTGTGAGAGATGGAAAGGGGCTCATGCATGCCGCTAATGTATGAAAAATGTTAGGAAAGTGGCCCCTGCCCTGCTCTGTCTGCCGTTGATGGTGTTCTATCTCAAACACTTCTAACATATCTTCTTTTTTCCGTATCTGATTCTTAGGACATCACGCCAAACAGAAAATGTGAATCCATGCATGAAGGACAACCAAACCAACCTCAACTATTGATTTAATCTTTTATGACACATGTAATTATTTGAAATGGAAAAAAGTAAAGAATCAGGGAATTTAGAAAATAGGAGGAATAAAGAATTGAAATCGGATCAACTACTTGTCTTAGTTTATCCAATTCTTAATTTTGAGGGTAAAGTATTACTAATTTTAAGATGACACGTATTTTTCGATTCCCTGTGTAATTATCTTTCTTCTGTGTGTGTTTGTGTCCCTTGGGCAGTAGACGCGTTTGTCTACCATTTTGATTTCACAGATTGAAAGGCAAAAATTCATTATCTTTCTTCTGTGTGTGTTTGTGTTTCTTAGGCAGTAGACGCGTTTGTCTACCATTTTGATTTCACAGATTGAAAGACAAAAATTTGTTGGTTGGTTTATAACGAATAAGGTTTACCCGGAGTGGGGGAGTAGGAGAGAATTAGCATTATTCCCATCGTTCCCAATTTTGAAACAGGATGAAGAAGCTATTGGCTGCATTTCCATTCCATGCCTGTTGCAATCAGATCAGAGTAACCAAGTTGGACACGCGATCCACTAAAGTTGAAACACAAACTCAAGAAAAGACTCAGTTCCTTCTCTCTAGAATCCCCAGCCCCAGAACAAAGTTCAAAGTAAAAAAGTAAAACATAAACGGTTGGTGAGCAAAAGGAAATGTCAATTAGTCAATGATTCCTCTTTCCCAAGCATCAAGGCAATTACCTTTTTCTTCTCCTTCATCTTTTAGATTCAACCAAGGGTTAAAAATGAACAAGGATCATTCAGCAAATTTACTAGTAAACCATGTACAGTAGCATCATATTTACCTATCATGGAGAGAGGGGTAGAAAAACATAAGGTCACATGTAAGCAAAACGTTGTGTCAACCGTAAAGAAAACTTAAGCTGACAATTGCTTCCGCACAAAGAAAACTTAGAAAAAGGGCCAATTAGTCTCACTGATACTATCAAATTAGATTGCGAATATAAGAATTCGGTACGACTCACGAACATGTACAAGGAAAGAAATGCATAAAAAATTATTGCAAGGTCAATTCATGGAAGCAGGTTGGTGAAGCACTTGGACAAAACATCTGAATTATGTGAACACCGACGGAAAGATGCATGAACCAAAGAAAACCGCACGTCATTCAAATCTATGTGGGGGCCTTAACCTAGGAGTCTAGGACAGTTGAAAAACATATTTTACGTACCTTAACAACCATTTACTCCTTCCTTAGTCTTCGGCTAATCAAATACAATCATTATAAGAACTGTTGTCCCTGCAAATTAAAATGCTGCAAAACAAATATTTTATATTTATGTTTATGTCACAGCTGACTCAGCATCACCTTCTATAAAAAATCATCATTCAATTCACTACAAAAAGATTTAGATAAAAGCAATGAAATTAAAATCGTCACTAGAGTTCAAGTTGTCTGTTAATTAATAAGTAATTAGTTGAATCAATTAGGGCCCTAATGATGTCACTTCAGACGCCATTATATCTGTATATGCATCCTTATCCATATAGAACCAAATTGCAAAATTGAAATGAGAAAAAATCTTCACAAATCTCTAACAGAAACTGCAGATAAAGAATTCATGATATAGCTGAGCCACCAAACACATCACAATCTATGAATAAATGGATGCTCAAAAAGTATAAGCAACAGTTGCTGCGTAAACAATGCAGACGATAGCATTGCAGCAGCAGGTAGTGATATACAAAATGATCACAACAAACTTCCTTCCTATGCAGCAATATAAAAATAAAACACAACAAAATTTCTTTTGAGGATACATTCAGTGTATGCATTTCTAAATTATCAAATATTTAGTGCATCAATTTTGTAATGCTTTTTTATTTGGACTTTCCTTCTAAAAAGATTTTTAAAGAAAGTTTTCTTTTCTTAAACAAATAAGAGCACAACAGCCAGACATTTCCTTGAGGAAAGCTCCAATGACAAAGCCAACCATCACTAGAACAAGAAAAGGGGCCAAACAAAGAAATAAGAACGAGAAACTAATGGGGCATTAACTTGCCTCCCCTTAAACCCTCCCCATTTGGCTTTAAGTATCCACCAACACATAGTGAGATCAATGACAACAGCTTCTTCTACCATGCCGTACCAATGATTGAAACACAACAACCAACACTTAAGATCTTGCTTCCAAAGTTCATGACAGAACCAAACTACTCATTAGATTTCTTTATTTACTTCCATACCGTACAGATTGACTCAAATAAGTTCTAAGCCCAATTCAACTCTTGTTACATGGATTTTTCTTCACAGCGCAATCCTACCCTCTACCTTTTCACTAAAAGAAACTTGTATAAGATTCTGTGATGCTATTCTTTTCCAAATTTCCATCAGTCTCAAACCCAGCAACCACATAACGAAGTGATCATTCTAATTATCGGTAGTACCCACATCTTAAATCAGATAGAAGGGCAATTCACTTACATACTACACAGTACACACTGTTCAAATCCATATGAAACCAGCTATTTAAACCAATCCATTAAAAAAAATAGCCGCCTCATAGTGCGTATGAGACTTAAGATACCAATATTACAAAACTACTTTTGTCAAAACTTCCATATTCAACTTTGAGAAAACAAGTCCCAGTGGAGGACTATCATATACAAAAGCATCACCAATACTAGGCCTAACTTTTCCATAAACAAAGTAACTTCTTATATCTCCACCTTTTGATCAGGGTCTACACATCAGTCTTTTTTTTATCCTAAAAAGTCACACTTTGAAATGCTTACATTCAATGTTTTCCTGGCAAATCTGCCGAAATTATCATCCCGATCCTTGTACATTATATAACTCAGTGTTCTTCCTCCTATTTTGGACAAAGAACTTCATTTTGTAACCCTAAAAATTGGCATTAGCTCATACTTGCACAACCATATATAGATGTAATTCAAAGCAAAATGCATTATTAACATAATCAAACCATCTATTTATAAAAATAATGCCAATATATATATACACAATATATACAAATTTGAACATCAAATGTAAACCCAACCAACACATAAATTAAAACCAGATTTGTATCCCCTTTTTGATACGTTAAGCATTGAGAACGAAACGGTACCGCATCAGCAGACCGAAGTCAATCTCATCGGCACCTTCGCTCTCTCCGCATCGCCCAACCCATCCGCCACGATACGAATAACCCTCTTGAAGGCGAAGTGCACGCAATTCGAAAGCGCAATCCAACACATCACCTCGTACACGAAATCAAACGCAGGATCCGACGGCGAAGAAGAAGATGACTCATCCCAATTTTGCCCTCCAAATCTATCGAAATTCCAACCCCCG